CATAGTGTGGGATGGAGTGGTATTCCATAAAGGGTGTCCTTGGGTGGAGTGATATTCCATAAAGGGTGTCCTTGGGTGGAGTGATATTCCATAAAGGGTGTCCTTGGGTGGAGTGATATTCCATGTCCTTGGCTTCCTGGGAGAAGATCCAGGCTAAGCTTTAAGCAAAAGCCACATGAATAAGCAGTTATGGAGGCTAATGAAAGAGCTGAACTGGAATATATGAGAATATATATTAGAATATGTGTTGGCAGGGGGGCTGCTAGGAACAAAAAAATCTCCATGGGCCCCTCCAGCTGCCCCTCCCCCAGCATGGAAAAATGTAGTACCTGTATTTTACTGTGAAGTGTAAATTAATAATATCAACAAAGGGAATGTAATAAACATATAACCTTTATTTTCACTTTTGTGAAAATCAGATAAGGCAAATAGAGCAGATTTGTCGTTGCAACGTAATGGTAAAATGGACTGCATTTATATAGCGCTTTTTACTACTCTTACAAGTACCAAAGCGCTTTACAGTTATGCCTCACATTCACCCATTCACACCACACATTCACACACACGTGATGTAATCGGCTGCCCTTGAGGGCCCCCTCCCAGCTCGGGGCCCCAGGCCTGCCTGTCCTGTCGCTGCACCTCTGAAAACACCAATATAGTGAAAACTAAAAACTAAGACCTATTGCTTGTCATTAAAGTTTCAATTAAATAAATATTGTCATAATGTGTCGTAGAATACCCATGGTAAACTTATGACAGTATCATAAACCAACTGGCAGGGATTACTTATAATCGTGAGATAGTCGACCCCAAGATACGGTAAATATAGGGCAGCACATGCAGTGTTAAGGGGAGGGTATTCACAGCCTTTATTTACAGAGTTATACAGCCAATCAGTGGATGGGCTGAGCTCACCTAAGGGACTGTGCTGTTGTGTGATTGGCTTACAGGAGTTGACACTGATAATTAAGTCTGGTGATAATATCTCTTTTGGCACTACATTTTCTTTTTATTTTATTGCAACAGAAATTATGTGTCGCAACATTTAAAAAAAAAAAAAAATCTAACAGTTTTCCTGAATGTCACTGAGGAACAGTGAAGGTTGTTCTTAATGACGTATGCGCCCTGTTCTGTGGGCCTTCTGATCACATTCTCCACAGCAGCATGACTGTTTGTGGTTTATTTGAATATAAAATCCATGCTGTGATAAACAGATTCACTGGAAGACAAAGGCTCATCTGTGTCTTTATCACTGATCGTTTGGTTCTTGCCATGTCAATGAGGCCATTTAAATGTTATGCAATCTTGCAACATCCATTCTCCTGAGAATGCTTTCTTATTTGCTGCATGGCATGCAACTTAATTTCATTTCATTTCATTTCATTTCATTTCATTTCAGTAGAGGTATCACCTTTTTCCCTGTGTAATCTGTGATAATTTCTGGTGCCTGTTCCACCTCTGCGCATCGCATCACTGCTGGCCCTTATAAATCAGAAGGTTTGGTCATTGTGAACATCTCAGCACTGTTTTTGGGGAGATATAGCCATTTAGCTGTCTTTCATAGCTGAAATGCAAAATAATACATACATCTCAGTCTCTTCAGGAATGAACTTTGTTTAGTATAAGATTCTTTGCTGTAGGAAGATCCTGTTATGAAATTGTAAAGATACAACCATCCAAATACTGTAGGTCTGGCACATCAGTAGGTGGAAAAAAGCGTTACAATTTATGGTAATCAAAAGCGAGGCCAATTCAATGCCTCCGAAAAAAAAGTCAGGGAAAGCGTTCCGGCTGGGAGTGGGAGAATCCCAAAAGAGCAATTAAAAATAACCTCTGAAGCAACCTGCTTGGTTGTGGTGTCATTCCCAGCAGGTTAGCCATGGAAAGTCCAGGGTCGTTCTACTTGAAATATATCCTGCGCCGACTTGGTATCTAAGAATGACCCGTAAGTGAGTGATGGTTGAGCTGGATTCCTGACTTGACCCGAGGTGGACATTTCAAGTCCAGAAAGTAAAAATCCAAACCAGGATTTTGTTTCAACCAACCAGTTGATTAGAAAGAGTCACAGTCATAGAGTACTCAATTTTTTGGTTGAAACAAAATGTTGGTCTGGGTTTTTAATTCCTGGACTTGACCTCCGAAAGGTCTGCACCGAGAGAGGAGCCTCGTTTAGGCTGCATCCATTCATGTATGAAGAAGCTAAGAGTTTTACCCTGACAGACACCAAGTTCATTTGATCCTATTTTGGTTAACAGTCACATTTTAACTATGAAATTAATCAAATAAGCAATGTTTTAATCTAGACAGGTAATAATCAGTGCCTGTTCTTTATTCCTGAAGGTATGGCAGAAGTTGTTCCCCTTGATTAATTTTTGTCTGGAGGTAAAATAAGAGCTAGGTGTGTTGTTTTCTGGAATTTAATGGATTAAGGGCACCATTAAGTTAACAGAATGGAACCTTGACAAGAAGAACGGCGCCCACCAGTATGCTTTGGTTGACCGTCTGCATGTTCTCCCCTTGTTCTACTATGGCAGGGTTCCTTGCTTCTGGAGGACATGGAAGGGTCAGGTGATGACATGGAATTTTCCGGCTTACAGGAATGGATAGAGGACAATAGCACGGAAGGTGAGCCAAAAGTAGGATTCCATTTCATTAAAAAAAAAACCAGCAAGGTGTATCAGATGCAAACTAACTACCCATTTGATTTTATCTGAGTTATGCAAGGTTTCACCCAGGAATCTTTTTGTTTATACGTGCAAGCAGTAGCAAGCAGAACCAGTTGTTACCATGATTTTTGGGAAGCGTTTGTGCTTTTCTGCTGAGTGCATTCTTTACATAACCATGTTAAAGCCCCCCCACCACCACCACCCTTCTGCATTAAACATGAAGTCCTGAGGGTATAGGGGCACTTCTTTTTTCCATTGTGTACAATGTTCGGAGAGTTTTTGTGAGTAAATCTGCATAGTTGACATCGCAGAACTGAAAGGAAGGTTCCTGTTTCCAATTCATCATTGTGTGGATATTTTCTCATACAAAGTACATTTCCACAGCAGTGTCTTACTAGGGTGATTATACAATCCATGTCAGGGAGGACACTTTGAGTTAGGACAGGAATTGTAAAGCACCATTTCAATTACAAGGACCTGCATTTCACTTTAGCACTGAGTTCTTGCTGTATGCTGATAGGTCAGTCTCCTATAATCATGCATGTGCCACTAATGTCAATGTGAAACAGCTGGATGAGTCTTTCAATCAAGGAAACAAACCAGTCAAAGCACAAGATGAGCTGAACTATTTAGCCAAGCACAGGAGTCTTTCAGTTTTAAAGTAGTTTGTAAAACCTGAAGTACACCATCAGAAAAGAGATTACCAATTTGTACTTTTGCTTGTCACTGGGGCTGTACCCTCAAGGGTCTGCCAGTTGTACCCAAGCTATAGGTAAATGTACCTTTTAATCTAATTTAAGGTACAGAAACAGACTCCGAGGAACATCCCCAAGGTACAAACAACATTGATGTATCCCAATGGTACAAAAATGTTCCTCATAGTCCCTTAAGTGTACAAGTTAGCAAATTAGTACTCTTTTTTTTTCTGACTGTTCAAAGTGTCCTCCCTGACATGGGTTATCTGGTCACCCTATGTATGAATGATTCAGCTAAATTAACTTAAGTTAGATTTCTTTGAAAACGTATTAATTGCGAAATAAATGTCCTGGCAAAAAAACATGTAGCTATTTAACATGTCTGTTTTGTTTTTATTGAAGTAGCCGTCGTTGGTGTGAATGTATCTGCAGAGCTGCCTTTTGAACCACAAATGCCAAGCACCAGTGTGTCGGCCAGCCCCCCCGGGCAAAGCGCCCCCCCGCACGCGAGGCACAAATCGGCTGAGAAAGACGATTTAAAGAAGCCAGTGGCCACCAGGTCTACACCTGAAGACAAGGAGACCCTGCAGGACCTTGAAGGCTCTGGGGACGAACGTTATTCCGGGGAAGGTCCAGTTTCCATATCCCTTACAACACAGACGAGTGCTGACAGCATGTCTGAAGATGAGTTCATCCCACGTGTCTGGATTAACGACACACGGGAAAAAACTGTATGGAGTCATTTACATATTCGTAGTGTTAGTCTTAGCCATTGCTGTTTTTTTTCAATGAAATATTAATTCACATTTTAGTGATGTATTGATTTCACTCTTCCACCTTAATTCATAACCTATTTGATAAAAAAACAATTACTGTTGCTCTAATATGTAAAGCCAGGAAGACTGTTTTCATTTTAATTTCTGGCACATGTTGCACCAGGAAGGTCTACGTGTCTTACACGTAGGATTGTTTTTAACTGCCTGAGTTGGACACTTCTGTTCATGTCTCAGGACGACTTTAACTTTGAACCACCAAAGATGACGGAGACGAGAGACTCGTCTTTCGACAGCCTGGCGAAGAGCCATGGTCTTCTGGAGAGAACCGAAGTTCTTACAGGTGGGAATTCGTACTCATGAGCTGCGTTTCCAGGCACAGCTGGATTTTATTTGACTGTGACAGGGAGCCCAGTGCCAGTGTGGGGAAGGGTTCCTCTTCACTGGGCAAGCTCGCGAAGTCACTTCTTTTAAATTTGGAGTAGCTGAGCTTAATAGAAGGAGACTGAGAGATGCACCAACAGTTGGATTTTGACGCTTTTTTAGTTTAGTTTAGATTCAGTTTAGTTTTGTTTTATATATATGTTTGGAGACAGGGAGTTTGGCTACAGACCTGTACCCTGGGATGTTCCTGTTCATTTATACTTGTGGTAGGTCAGGATGGGGTTTTCAGTTCTCCTACACACAGGTCATGTGACTTGTTTGGGCCAATCCCGGAACGTGGCCACTTGGACAGTCTTTTCACACTGTTTTAGTAAGAAAAACTATTGTAAACATCTTTGCTTTGAAGTGAATGAAATGCAGTGAAAACTGATGATTTATTTAATTATATAAGTGCTGTATTTGTACAGTGTATTATTTGTAATGATAAGTATTGACCCCACAATATGTATTCTCCATTTGTCCCGTGTGACATTCGCTGATTACATGTACTGAGTACGTGCCGCTTCAGCTACGAAAAGTGAGTTTTTACAGCTTTATTCCTGCTGGCTTTTGCTTTTCCTTTGCAGGGGTCACTGCTGGGTGCTTGGTGGCTTTTGCACTGGCAATTACCTTGATATCTTTCATGGTGCATCGGCTGAAGAATAAAGATGAGGGCAATTATGACATGGGCAACGAGAGACACGCCAACGACGGATACCAGAAGCCGGCAAGGCAGGAGGAGTGTGAGACTTGACTGTTCTCCTTCACCAAACGCACGTGACCAGAGTCATTCCACTAATCAGATGGCCTTTCTCAGTGTGTCTGGGTATCTGTACCAGGGAGTGTGTACGTTTATAAGGAGGTTCATCCCCATCGTCATCATTTCTCTCCTGTTGCAAAGTTCAATATCATTTATCATTCTTAAATTTACTACATACAATTTTTTTTTGGAGGGGGGTTGGCTTACTGAGACCAAAATGAGTGACTGCAGACAGAAAAGACCAAATATAACACATTTTTCTTTATTTGACATGTTTGTACATTTTTTTTCTAGACCAAAGGGCATAATATTGGGACACAATAGGAATATAAACCGTAGCAGGGAAAAAGCATTAAAAGTTCAAAAAGAGGCTGTGTTACGAGAAAATGGTGCAAATCTTTGACCTACCTCAAGCTGCATTTAACAATTATCCCGAGCAGTGGGTTGACTAAATAATATCTGCACGTCAAGATGTGAGAATCCGCGGGCAACAAATTTCACAGCTTCCATTTTCAGTCAGATTCTCTGTCTCTGCTTGTCGATTTTAATGTCAACATTTTTTGCACATTCCCTCCATCGCACAAGCAAGTGCTTTGCCAGTAATTCAGCTGCAGGATCTGTGAACTGGGTATCATCAGTATCACGTATCCCTCCCACTGCCAGACCATCAGTTACATTTATTTTTATTTTGCCTAAAGTGACGTACTAGAGAAGCAGTACAGCTTTCCAGGCAAGGAGCATGCAACTGTTTAAGAGGAAGTAAAACCGCAAATGTATGTGTTCCTGCTCTCCTTAAGTACAAAAGAAAGTTATTTGTGCAAGGCAATTTCCCCCTCCGTCAAAATTAAAACTATAGAAACCATTATGCAGAGATTACCAGGTGAATCTGTAAAATGTTCGCTAGCAACTCGGAAATGTGTCTCAACGTAAAATGTAGTGAATTATCTAAAGAGCTCATGCTGACCAAATGTAAGGGAAATGTACTTTTGTAAAGATTGATTGAGGAAACGCTGGAACTGAAAACAATGGCTTGGTTCCAGAGACTTGAATGAACTCGGATGCTAAAAGTTCCACCAAAACCCAGAAATGACTGAAAGATATGATATGTAAGATAATACACTTTTTTTTCTTGCCTGGGGCATTCCAGAAACTTCCCTGGCTACATGTCTAACTCAGCTGAATGCCTGAGATGGTTGAAATCATCAGCTACCAAATCCGTATAATGATCCGTATAATGATGACTGTGCAAATTCTGTTCTTGTTACAGGCAATTTGCTGAGTTTTGCTTTTTGTGTGTAAAATATTGTCTGATTTTGTTTGTGTCAAGGCGATATCATTTGCTTTTGTTTAATAATTGAATAAAACATGTTTGCATCATCACTATTATATCTATAAATCCACCACTAAACCCCAGCATAACTACAGCACCTCCAGATTACTGTATATTGTTCCTCTGCTCTTGTGCATTTTTAAAGTCAGCTGCTTTTCTGACAATGGCATGTAACAGATGGGGAGTTTCATTTATTAACCCCCATTTACTTGCCAAGATTGCAATGGTCTGTATTTTAATTGACAGAGCAGGAAGTTTATTTTGATTGGATAAATCCCACAAATAAACGATTTATATATATATTCATAGTTTTTCCTTGGTGTGGATGTCAGAGGCCTTTGGAAACTTAAAGATAAACCTTCTTTGCTCATATTGAAAGGTGCTACCCGGAATCCCTGAAAACAACAGAACAGTGACGCTCTCAATTTACATCACTGTGTCGATCGCTTAGTGTTTTGCTTACCTGCAGTGCGGACTCAGGCCACAAATTGGTATGATTAAATGATTCGCCATCTGTCTCAGCTGTTAGAAGCTCCAATCGCCATTACCTACCTAGGGAAAAAATTACACTGTGTAGCACAAATTTTGTTATTGAATGATATATGTTATTTCATAATTGCTTGGCCATTATATGCTTCAAACTTTGCTTTTGTGACCTGGATAAAGAAACTTAGAAACTAACGTATTTTCTATGTAAAAATGGGCACATTTGCATATTCTCATTCACATAAGGCCTGAATAAAACAACATATGAATCAAGATTTACATATATTTAAACTAAAGTTATACAAAAATGAACAGAATTGCTTAGAAGTGAGTAGCTTTTCCAGATTTGCGTGTTGGTCTTGATCCCTGACAGGAGTGCTGAAATATGGCCTTGTAGGCATCACACATTGTAGCAGATGGTGTCACTGAGTATTTTTTCGCTGTTGTCTTGATTAATTTCCCACATACATAGCAGAATATGTCTGGAGAATGCCTGCAGCTTCTTGATGCCATCTCTCATAAATTCTAATAGATTTATTTGTTCACATAGGTAACTGGAACTACACTGACATGGTGAGGGGTGAGCCCCTTTTTATATATGTATTACTATGGAAAGTTCTAGAAAACAAAAAAAAAATCCTTTGAATGTTTCTGGTGCTCATGCAACACTGTAGAGGATTTTCTTTGTCTGCCCATGTCCTTTTAGGGGCTCTGTAGCATGGAATCTACCTGGAAAGTTCCGAAAAATGGCTAAATTTGAAAATGTCATTACTCAGGGCAAAAAAGCAAAGATGGAAGACAAAATAGGTCTTTTCCATTTAGGCATAAGCAATTGGGAAATAACACTTTCTGCCCAGGGACAAGAAAAAGTAAAAATTTAGTTACATAGTGTCATCAATGTATTTACTTGTCCTTACTGTTACGCTGGGGAATGTTAAGATATGTCGAGTGTGTGGAACCAGCCACATCCTCCCAGTGCAAAGGCATTTACAGTTCAGCTTGTCACATTGAACACGATGTGCATAGTGTGACATAGACTGTGTATGACTAGAAAAATAAAACTATTTTGTGAAGAACATTCAGGTTTGTTGATGTTAGTTTTTTATTAGATATATAGCCTATAAAAATAAATAATAAACTATGTCTTCATATCCAATCCAGGATATATTCCAGCCTGTGCTTCATTGATGAGCATTATATGATTATAATGTTTGTTATTAATGTATATTAAAGCTATTAATGTATGTCAGGATGTTAAGTGTACTGCCTATGAATGCATTATGAAGGTGCACTGAATGTTCTATGAATCCATTATGAAGGTGCACTGAATGTACTATGAATGCATTATGAAGGTGCACTGAATGTTCTATGAATGCATTATGAAGGTGCACTGAATGTTCTATGAATGCATTATGAAGGTGCACTGAATGTTCTATGAATGCATTATGAAAGTGCACTGAATATATAATGCATTCTATGAATGCATTATGAAGGTGCAGTTAATGTAAAGCGTCACCAGATATTTATGTTGATAATGCATGCTTTTTGTACCAGGGAATATTAATAATCAAAATTTTCCTCAGTTTGGTCAAACATGTTAAATGTAAAAACTGCAAAACTGTTCCCCAGTTTCAGGCTTACTATCCCATGAGAACCCAAACAGTTCCATAACAGGCCTGTAATCCCATGAGGACTCCAGCTGTTCCCTGGAACACGATACCTTCCCAAACGCTAACATCCACAATCAACGGTATCACACCTATTATAGTGCTATATAGTCCATCCAGGTGTAATGAAGAGTTCTATACTGCCTTCTGTAAGTGGCCCTGACATATTTTAATAAAGCATGCAGGTTTTGGAGTTGGTCTTCAAGATGTGCACATTGTTAACTGGGTGGCTTTCCCGGTAAAGTCATCGGCCAAGAATTATTTTTCATTCTCAGTGCAGTCGGCACTTCTGTCCACTCAGGGTTTAAAAAACTGTCTCTGGTTGCTCTCAGGTTCCATCATTTTCCAAGAGTGATGTAAACAAATCCCAACCCCAGCTACACCATGTATATTTTTGGCATCAGTAGAACCAGAAGCTGAACATTATGAACATCCATCTACATGGTGGTGGTAAGCCTGGTATTTCCATGATGGGATGCCACTCTATCACAGGCACCCTCATATGCACCATCACACCTCATGGGCAATTTAGAGACACCAGTTAGCCGATGTGTTGGAAGCAGGGAAAATGGACAAGCATAAGGATCTAAGCGACTTTGACAAGGGCCAACCACCGAAAGCACCTACAATGGGATCAGAACTGAACCATTGACCAATGGAGGAAGGTGGCCTGATCTGATGAGTCACATTGCCTGTTACATCATGTTCGCGGCTGAGGGAAGAAGGCAAGCCGGTGGCGGCAGTGTGATGCTCTGAGCAATGTTCTGCTAGGAAACCTTGGGACTTGGCATTCATGTGTATGTAACTTTGACACATACAGTATCACCTACCTAAATATTGTTGCAGACCAATTATACCCCATCATGGCAATGGTTAGGTTTAGGGTTGGGGTCAAGCATCTGTGGATGTGCCAGACAAGTCCAATCCATGGAGGCTCCACCTCACACCTTACAGAACACCACAGGACACCTTCAGAGGTCTAGTGGAGTCCATGCCTCGATGGGTCAGAGCTGTTTTGGAGACTTGAAAGAGACCTGCACAAAATTAGGCAGGTGGTTTTAATGTTACGGCTGACTGGTGTACATTTGTTTCTCTCTTTTCGCATCTTTTTAACTCTTGTGATATTTCTATAGCTCCCAGCAGAATAAGAAATAATTACAGTAGGAGAGCATTGGGGGTCTCGCCATAAAAACCTCCCACCCCACATGTTTTTTAGACAACTCTAATGTGCAAGAACAGTTTTTTAACAGGTGAAAGGGTAACTTTAAGCTATTTGAAATATTTCACTTTACAGAGGAAGAAACACACAAATAACTACTAGTCAAAGAAACTGTGAAAAGTTGCGTATGATGGGAGCGAGTTTCATTCCAGGGATTTAGAGCAGGACGCCACTACGGTGCATAAAGTGGCTCACTGAAACCATTATCAGCATGGTTCTTACAATACAAACTTTCAGAATGTAGTACCCACAATGAACAGAAGAGGTCACACTTTAACCAATAAAATAAATAGACAGGCTACTAACAGGAAACAATTTATATTACTGTGCATAGAATTGGATGGAGTAGAGGAGAGGGCAGCAGTCAGTCAGAGCAGAAACCTACTGTTACAGACTCAACATCACTATTCAAAGAAGGAAAGAAGACTATAATAATAAGAAAAATGTAGCTGTGGCATCTTTTGTATACAGACGCTCCTCTACTTACGAACTTTCAACTTACGAACTTTCAGACATACCAACGAACAGAACTGCAAGTCCAAATTGTGTTCATTGGGCTGCCATTTCCTGTCCGCAACATCAATTTTTTTTTTCTGTGCGCCAATTCCAGGTAGTACGACTTCTGGCCGTTAATCCTGCCACACCGCAGCGTAGCGTGCGTACTCCCAGCATCCTAGTTCTTTGTACTTGCATATACCCTTAAAATGATGTTGAATAACGACTTACGAACATTTCAAGTTAAGAACGGCCGTTCGGAACGTATCTCATTCGTAAGTAGAGGAGCGTCTGTATATACACATTAACCCAAGGCCATCATTTCTATTGTTGTCACATGACCTTTTTTTTAACCAATGTCTGCAAAATGTTCAATCATTACTCAGAAACTCAATCACAAAACTGAACCAGCATGTTAAATGCAACAAATTTACAACAATGCACATTAATACTAGCAAGACTTCATAAATCCTTCACTGCACAGGCAATGCGTGATTATGTTACGATCCTACTTCACATTAGCTCACTATTATTGTGCCCTTCCGCACATTTCACACCTGTACTACTGCTTTCTTGGGCCTGATTTGGCTTTGCTGTGACCCGTGCCTGGAGGGACATCCAGTGGTCTTTTCTACGAGAAATGCTTTTGACAGTTACCTTATACAAGTTTTAATGCAATCATCGTAAAAACGGAACTTGCAGTATTACAAACGAGGAAGCTTTAACTCCAGTTATCTATGACCAGCTGTCAGCATGAAAAATGAATGCAGATTACATACTAACAGAGACATCAATCAGGCATTCAGGATAATTAAAAAAAAAAAAAAAAAACATCTGACACTTAAAAAGGCAACTGCAGTCCTTTTGAGGCCTGGTGTTAATACAATCTGAAAGGTTCCTATAACGTATAATACTGATCATACAACCAAAACTCAATCTGCCTTAGCCCAAAGGCATTGTACTTCAGAGTTATTCTAAACTACTGATGGGCTTAAGGAATATGACTATGCTTGTTTCAATGTTTTTTTTTATTGTACAAAATACAAAAGTAAACATATTACATATACACCTGGAAAATCATTGCCTCCATTGTGAAACAGTCAAGTGGATTCTAGAACATCACTCACCAAACACACAAATTTCACTTGCAGGTTGTTCCGACTTCCACAGATACGGCATACTG